AATATATTTATATACATATATATATTATTATATTATTATATTATTATATTATATATATATATTATTATATATCATATATATATATATATATATATTATTATATATCGGTACCTGTATCTGTATCCGTTTCTATCTATATATCAATATCTTTACTATGCTATGTATAGATGCGCGCAGGATTTCTTGACTTCGACATCGACAAAAGTGGTGCACTGGAGATGGATGAAGTGCGTTCGGCCCTGTTAAGTATTCTGAGGGTCACTCCTCGGGGACTGATGGGTGATGAGATCATAGACATCGCTACCAAGAAGATTATGGCAGAGGTATGGTATCTTTGTCTATGTAAATGTATATTTATATGGCAATATTGTATCATCTTTGTCCGTGTAGATTTTATATTTATATATTTATATCACCTCACTCGTGTATGCCGTGTAGTTGTGGATTGTATATTCTTGTGTGTATGTGTCCGGTATGCGGAGAGTGACGAAGAAGTGACGAAGAAGTTACCGATGAAAATGGTGTTCTGAAATGCACGCTTACTAAATTTGCGCCGAGTATCCTATATAGTTTTTTCAGATGCGAACACCAACCACTAACATCCTTTCGTAGTGGAGAGCCGATCGGCATTGTCGTGTGTTTGTGGTAGTAAATGTGGGTGTACAGTGCACACACTTTTGAAGTATGTTTACTGGAGTATTCAGGCCTAAAGTGCACAAACCTATATCAAGCTCGCGGGAGCGTAACACTTCTCTTAGCAAAGAATATCGAATACGTACGCTACAAATATCACTCCCACTAATTTTTTTTGAATAGATTCCCTCAATCCTAAGTAAAACATGATAATTCACTGAAACGATCTATATAGATATGCATTTCTATATTTCTATGTATCTATATTTCTATATTTCTTATTTCTAAATATTTCTATATATTATATTATTAAATTATTGTTTCTATTTTATTATATTATTATATTTATATATATATTAGTATACATCATATATGTATCTATATATATATATATACATATATGTATTTATATATATATATATGTATTTATATATATATATATGATATATATATATATACATATACATATATGTCTATATATATTACCATATATAAATACTATTATACATACATATATATATATAGATATATATATATATATATATTCATATATTGTATGTATATATTTATATATACTGTTGTGGTGGTTGAATGAATGGTACACTGAATTGATTCAGTCCGTAGACTATACTAAAATATTCTAATCTTCTAATATCTTTGCTATATATATAGGTTTCTGGCAGCAATAAGGGGGTTGTAAGCGAGGACGAGTTCGTGAACTTATGCTATGCCTTAGGTGTGTACGTGTGTTCGTATGTGTATAAAAGTGTTTTTGTATGCGTATATATGTATGTTTTATTATGTGTATATATGTGTTTGCTTGTTTGCGCATGTGTGTGTGTTTATACGTATATATGTGTATTTTATTGTACAAGTATGTGTTTGTATGTGTATATATGTGTGTGTTTGTATGTCTATATATGTGTGTGTTTGTATGTCTATATATGTGTGTGTTTGTATGTCTATATATGTGTATTTGTATGTTGATATATGTGTATTTGTATGTCTACATATTTGTGTATGTATGTATGTATGTATGTATGTATGTA